TCTCTCTCTATTATTGACTAGGCTTTGTGATCTCTCTCTTTATTATTAACTAGGCTTTGTGATCTCTCTCTCATAACTTTCTATTGCTTGTGAAATCTCGCTATCTCATATGCTTCCATTGCTAGTGATATATATTATTGAGTAAGCTGTGTGATCTCTCTCTATTATTGAGTAGGCTTCGTGATCTCTCTCTTTTTATTAATGACTAGGCTTTGTGATCTCTTTCTCATATCATTCTATTGCTTGTGAAATCTCTCTCTCTCTCATATGTTTCTATTGCTAGTGATATATATTATTGACTAAGTTTTGTGATCTCTCTCTATTATTGACAAGGTTTTGTGATCTCTCTCTCTTTATTATTGCCTAGGCTTTGTGATCTCTCTCTCATGTCCTTCTATTGTTTGTGAAATCTCTCTCTCACATGCTTCCATTGTTATTGAAATAAAGATCAAAACCAAGCAATTTGATGTTTTTATAGTTGAATTTGTGATCTGTCTCCCAAGATTTTCATAAATTACAAAGGAAAAAGAGTGGATGGCGCATGATTCTCATCCAATAATTGGATTGTTCTTTGTGGGTAGCACGGGTGAAGAGTATGGTGCACTTTAGGTAGGTTACTCTATAGGGCAAGTATGATGTACTCCCACGAGAGCAAACTATACATTTACTCACCTCTGGTAGAAAATATATTTACGAAGATTTCTCTCTTTTTAAAACTTTGGGATCATTTTAGAATGAGAAGAGTTATTTCATTAAAAAAGAACGATTTTGAGTTCCTAAACACTTGGCTATAATGACCCAAAAATTGGATTGTTTTTATTGAATCTACATAAATAGTTTGTCATGAGCATGTAAAGTGCTTATAAATTTATTTTTCTCCTTTTATTTGAGTTTAAATGGCTAAGTAGAGGAGGCTTTTTTGAATGGACAAAATTCTCCAACCGGAAGAAAAAAAATCTTTTAGCATATTAAATGTAAACTACTATTCCAATCTTTTGGATAAGACATACATATTGATCTTATAACTATTTAGTAGGGATAAATGCCTAATCCACAAAGTTGATTTTAAAATTAATTTTACAGTAGAATTTTAAAAATTCAAAAACTTTAAAAACAACTCGTAGAGAATACCTGAAGGCACGAGATGGTTTACGCTTTTTTCGAACCGTTAAATGTCCTTGACTTGGTAAATTTTCTAGATGCAATCGGTTCCAGCGAATACGCTTCCAGAATACAACTATGTTTAGTATTTCAATTTTAAATTACCAAGTTACACTCTAAGCAACTTGCCCATAACCAAGGTTAATTACTAATAATCGGTAAAACAACCATAAACATCAATTAAAAATAACTATAAAATCATTTATTCTTGGATAAAAGAGTTTTCAAATTGTTCCTAGATAAATTACCTCAAATTGTTATTCAGATTGAATGATGGCTGCCATATTCTCAAAGTTCTTGACTAGAATCTTTTCACAAAGAACAGTTAATATTCTCACACGTTTGCTTTTTCTTCTTCTATTTTTCCTCTTCTCATAACAAAATTTCCGGATATTTATTGAGATGAAGTTTCAACTAACTGTAATTATAAATTAACACATATCGTTTGCACATGGCCTTAAACTATGCTTCACGTTTTAGCATAGTAATACCACGTGTAACATGCAACCCGTAAGTGTTCTTAACTTTATATTATTTTAATCATTTGCTATTCATCACTTTAATTAGACATATGTGTTGTTCACTGTGCATTTATTTTCATGTGTTACTTTGACCTGTACATCGAAATTCATGTGATGCTACAATGAACAAATTAATCAAGGGTGCGAAAGTGGAAAAAATAGTGTGAACCTCTCTTACCATATACTATACAGACCATACTATTTACTATGATCTAGCATGTACTATTCATATGGTCTTGTATGGTGCTATTCATTCGCACAGTACTATTCATTTACACAATAGTATTCACAATTGTAGTCCTCATGACTACAAACTTATACCGTCCAAACACTATTGTTTTGAAACATATGAAGCCAAAAAACTAACATTGAAGAGATCCACACTACTAAGCCATGGACCTAGTTTACGAATGCCTCGACATAATATCCCATCCTCCATTTCAATTGTTAACATGACAAAAAAAAAAAACAGAAAAAAGAAAAGGAAAAAGATGGTCTCTTGAAAAGCACTGTGTGGCTGAGATCTTGCATGGTTTTCAGGGTACTCCACTAAATTCAGGAAGGAAAAAGATCATTTCCTTTTTATTCATTATTTCATTGTTTGACTTTAACCCAAGGTTCGGTCGTTAACCACAAGATTGGAATCAAATTTAACCTATCTCTCCCAAAATAATGACCCAACTAAACTTACTCCAAGACAAGGCAAAAAGATTTGGTGGTCCCACTGGACCAAATCGATCATTTATTCTCGCAATTCTGACCCCTAGCAGGGGATCTACAGACACCAAACCTCTACAGGTTATGACCCTCTTACACCAATTGAATGAAAAGAAGAGGAATTTGGAGCTCAAAAAGTGTTCCAAATTAAAATCTGGTGGAGGACTTAATCTAGAAAGTCCGTTTTGCTATACATCATATATAATGACTTTTGCTCGCTCAATCATGTTTTAAACTAGTATTATGAATAACCACTGATAATAGATAAGATTTTTTTGTCACATTGACCCCCCTAATTACGAGTTTTCTTGTAGGTCTAAGTGCATATTTTTTACCAGCGAAGGACCACAATACAATTAAAAATACAAAGTTTTTTTTAAAAAAAAAAATTTGTCGAGCTCTAGGCAACTTCTTCCTTTTCTTTTTTTTTTTCTTTTTTTTTTTTCTTTTTTTTTTTTTAATTCGAAGGAGAGGATTTAGCTTTTTTTAAAAGTGTAAGTGGCACATTGGAATCAACAACGTGGCACTAGATACCGGGGACCTACTACCACGACCAGCCCCTTTCCTGGCCCGTCAAGCCAACCTCTTGTTGAAGGCATTTGTAGGTGTGGGGCCCCGGTTCCACCCTAACGATGGCCCACGCCAGTCAGCCCTAATTTGTTTTACTGTATATGGTAGCTAATAAAGAATGAAATTTGGCCCTTTACCCACCTTTCAATAAGGGACTGAAATGTATAAATGGTGAATTTCCATTGTCCGAACTTTGATTTTTCCCCTTTTTCTGGCCCTAGATTTTTCATGAATTCAATGGAGCATTTTGTGATTTGTCGGTTGGTTTTTTATTCTCATTTTTACAACCAAACAATTTGCTATATAATAAATAGAGGGAAATTTGTAAAAAATACCCATGTAAGATATACTATCTAACATTTTACGTATTTGCAATTATTTCAACTCATGATTGTGTATAGGTAATTTGATATTAGATCAAAAGATATGGGTGGAATATTAAATAGCTTATCTCTCATGGGTGCTACGATAACTTTACTATAATAAAATAAAGGGAAGATATTAGTTAAAGGGTGAGGAGCGCGTACAAAATTATAAGGGTCTCGAATAATTCTAAAAATATTTAAATCATTCCCTTTTAGGATTGCGAATCTTGAATAATATGGGCATTTTGGTAATATAGTTAGTGCCAAATGACTTGAGCACCATTTTTTTGAGTTGAAGCTAAAATAACTTAGAATGTTTAGGATTTTTCAATCCTAAATGTCGACAATTGTTTTTTCTTTTTGATGATGTGCCCAATTAAAATAAAAGTAAAAATGCAATAGCCAAAGTGTAAATAGGATCATTGAGCCCCTTGATGATTTTGTAAAGTGTTTTTGACCTATTTTCCCTAAATAAGAAGATGAATTCCTGAAAACTTAACAGCTCCTTCAATGTGAAAACCTTTTTATCTGGCATCCAAACTGACCCTTATGCGTAGACAATGTCAAGTTTGACTGACATCCAATCCAATGAACCTCTAAGGCCCACGTAACTAGACACTATGATCATCACATTGACTTTCCACATGTATTACGGGCATTTAGATCAAAAAAAATTTATTTCCTACAACTGCTAGAACAATATCTTTACAAGGCAATAATATCAATACCAATCTGGGCCATCCATCCCAATGTCCTGTCTAGATCAAGGGCCATATTTCCTTCATAACATCAAACACAAGTACCAATAATGTAGCTCAAATCGAATTTCTCTTAAAACATAAATTTTCCAAAAAATTAAGAAAAATAAACATATGTTCAATTCCCAATCTTCGCTTTTATTGAAGTTTCACCGACGTACACATGGAACTAGTTGTTTCTAGTCCTGATTACCCTAGAGAGGGAGAGGAAATTATTTCCATTATTTGTGTACTCTTTTGAGAGAGAGAGGGCGAGTTGGTGAGAAATGGCTGAAGAGGTTGAAAGCCGACATTGCTGAGACCACGGCCATGGCCAAAGCAGAACAAAGGCCAGTGATTAAACTGTATGTTATGTGCAAGCAAAATCTCTGGTAAATGTTGCAAAGCTTGGACCATTGAAGCTCGCGTGCACCAAACTTAGCAAAGTATGAGCCTTGGATTGCGGCCGCCACCGCGCCAAGACAGCCGTACACCACGACCTGCATGTGATGTATGGAGACATGTTCAGGCACTCCTAAATTTGATGACTTTTTCTCGAGCAGAAAATATACTATAAGACCAATTACTTCTAGTACAAAGAGATCACAGTGAATTCAAGTTGTCCATTGGGGAGTTAGACAGCTTCGGGTGCTACATAATTTTAAAAACTTGTTTTTGAGCTTTGAGTTCGTCAATAACACTCTCCACCATGAAAAAAAAAAAAAAGTTTATATCTAGCCGAGGCTCTAAACAATCAACTTAGATCTCACCTCAAAAATATCACTTGAAGAGATTATTTTGATGCTCAAATATCCTCAAATTGATCATCTCGACATCAAGATGCATGGGCATGACAAAAAAAAAAAAATTTCAAGTTTTGGAAATAGTGCATCTTGTAAGGCAGTTTTGGACCGTCGATTTTCAAGATTTTCAAGTTTCCATAGATCTGCTCGATCTACAGTATTTTTGAAGCTTTACATTTTATAATTAAAGATGAAAATGTATTTTAAGGCTATAACAAAGATTTTCAGTATTGAAACTACGTTTCTCGACACTCTCTGAAGGCGTGCTTTAGTTTGATTGTTTAAAGCCTCGGCTCTATATATGCCACACCCAAAATAAATAGTCTTATTAGTGAGACAGGCTTCTTAAAACTTAGTGATGATTCAAGGGAATATGCAAACGGGCCTTGTAGCTACTCAAGCTCCAACACACACATGGATGAACGTTTTTGAGCCAAAACTTTATGTAACATATTCTACTTGACGAACTTTTTTGAGCCAAAACTTTACCATCCAATTTTTAGGTGGGATTTAAGAAATCTCCAAATTCATAATTTTTTTTTTATTTTTTATTTTTTTCTGAGAATAATCATGTGTCGGATGATTACTAGGTAGTTCCCAAAATTCCAGGTTGAAACATCTCCCACATAGATCTTCCAACTGAGGGAGGAGATCTACACTATGCTCGCACCATAGTATACACGCCCTATTGGAAAATACAATTATCACTAAAAATTGAGTCATTGAAAATTTAGGGTGGGTGTCGTTTGGTGAACTTTTTTTTTTATTATTTAGAAAACAGAGGGAAAAATGGGGCAAGGAGGAGTAAATTTGAAAAAAAAGGATAAGAATAAGAACCTGGTCGAATGAGAGAGTAAGCCAAGCAAGACGGGTACAGCAGGAAGTGGAATTCCAAGAAAGGATGCATTTGAGGAGTTGTACCATTTGATACCCAGCAGCAATTGACTCCACCATCACAAGTACCCTGTAAGACAACAACACATTCCATGAAATCCCTCTCTCTCTCTCACACACACACATAACAAATCAAATCTCTCTTTCTCTCTCAGGCAACAAGCCAAATCTCTCTCTCTCTCTCTCACTCACGCACACACGAACGCACACAAAAACAAATTAAATCTTTTTCTCTCTCTTTTTAGGTAATTCATTAGAGAAAACAACCCTTCTAAGTCTTTTCCAATGGTTTAGGAGTTCGTTTTTATTTAAGGTATTATTAGTAGAGCAGTTTGAGTGGGAATGAAAATCACAACTTGGTCATCAAGGTGCGGGGGTGCTACTACAACAACCCAACCCTTTTCCCGGGTGATTCTCTGTCATTAGGGTGCGGGGGTGCTACTACCACAACCCAACCCCTTTCCTTCTCTCTTACATATGCACAAATTCAGCACAACCCAAATCATGAATCTTCATCCCTCTCTCTCTCTCCCTCTCTCGGACACAAACACAAAAATTGAACCACCACCCAAATCATGAATCTTCCTCTCTCTCTCTCGCGCGCACACACACACGACCACAGCCCTCTCTCATCAATGAACCCAAAATTAGGCATCTTACTCTGTGCAATAGGAGCACTTACTCAAGACAATTCAAGTCTTTCATGGTAGCCCGTTTTTGAATGATCATATATTCAGTCTCCCTGTTTGTGGCCACAACAACTGCTGTTGCCACTGCAAACATCGCTGCCAACAATCTCAGCAAAGCTTCTGATCTCTTCAGACGCGCATCCATTTCCCCTCCCTTCAATGTTGTGCCACAAAAGTGAATCACGTGGACTTATATAGAGGGAGAATGTTGAATAAGTCCGGAAAAAAAGTATGTATAAGGTTACAACCTTATACTGTTGACAAAAGGTGCATCTCAAATTTCGGATAGGGGAGAATGTTCCCACATAGGAGAATCTTCCGACTTACCATCCGACCTTGAGATGAATAAAAAGTCATATGGACAATTTATTTTTAAGATTTTTAAATGTTTATTGATTGCTCGATCTGTATTATTTTTTAAATTTTAAATTTTTTATCCAAAGATAAAAAGAGATATTGAAGCCATCATAAGATTTTCGATGTCCAAATGGCATCTCTAACTAAATTTTTTAGGTACACCCGACTTCTACATTATAAAGAGGCAACGTTAGTACAAACCTCGCCCTCCGCATATAAAAAAGAAAATAAAAATAAAAAAATCAAAAGAAGATACAGGTACGAATACGTTTATTGTGTGGGTCAGCCCGTGTGCTTGCCCACACAAAACAAGAGGGTGAGCCGAGATACGTATACCGGAAGGCTATAGGAGTATACTATGTATCTACTCCTTCGCACAAAACACCGGATTAGGAAGCTTTTTTAAGCCTAAAATTTTGAGAACCACATAAGAATTACTAGATGAGTATCTTCAAAGAGAAAATTTTGATTTTTAAGTTTTTGACACTTAGATCTAACCCTTCGAAAATTGGATGGTCTATATTCAATCTTGAAGCAATAGTTTTTTTTTAGCACATAGAGAGTTTATTTGGAAATTGTTTTGAATTGATATTAGTCTATGGGTTATAGGATAATCCCCAAAATTTGAAATATAAAAGGTATTCCTAGCATGAATTTTACCTGAAGAGTAAATGAATAGTATACTCCCACGAGAGATTGAATTCTTTTGGGATGTGATACTTTCATTTTCCTCTTTCAAACGGCAGAGAGAGAAATAAATGAATGATTAAAATACCCTTAATCTCTTCGAGGGGATCAATCAAAAGAGACTACAAAAGAAACCCTTGATTAAATAATAAATGAGCCCGTTGGAAAGTCTTTACCGTTTGGTATTCCTTTCTAGTTTTCAAGTGCTGGCTTTAACAAATGGGAAGAGACATTTTTAATGGTTAGGAATGGAAGAGAGTAACCGTATCCAACTATAAATGGTTGGTATCTTTTTTTTTTTGTAATTATTAAGGGATTGTTTATAAGGTAGTCACAATTATTTACAACCATCCGATGTGAAGTTTGATAGCTTGGATGTGTTATAAAGTTTGAGAATTTTTTTTTTTTAAGTTTGAACTTGGTCAATGGAATAATTGCAGCCACCCAATTTCACATCCAATGATCAAGATTAATGTCTCGCTTTGTTTCACGTCCAATGATCAAGATTAATGTCTCACTTTGTACTATCGAAATTTTTAATACTTGAGTACAACTTTTTTTTTATTTGCTGCACTCTTAGAAGAATACTCTGTGTTTACTCCCTTATGTAAAACTTATGTTGTTAGGAACACTTTTTGGACAAGCATCTAGAATGCTATAACCAATTTTAAAGAAAGAAAAAGTTACATAGGACTCTCTATGTGCATCAAAAGTTTTGACTTCTCATGATTGAACAATAACTGCTAAATTTTTGAAGGGCAAGATCTAGATGTTCAAGAATTAAAAACCCATTATCTCTTGATCCAATGTTATTAAGATACACCCAAAATTTTTGGGAAAAGAAAAAAAAATTCCTCTACTCTTTTTCCTGAGGGAGTTGTTGTACAATCTCTCAAAGAAGCATATTGTACATGCTCTTTAAGAAGAAGCATATTCTAATTCATTATTATCAGAAGTATTTCGATACTGCCGAATTGGCCAAAATCTTTGGCTTCAGCCTCTCATCGGAAGCAAACCAAATCACGTCCCTCGGATTTTGAAAAAGTCACTTCTTTTCTAAATATATCCTTGTAACATTCATAATTTTGTAAAAATTCTTTAATACACATTGTTTATAATTATTTAAAAAAGGGTTATGCCAGAGTACTCATTTTATGGAGTAATTTATCATTGTACTCAACAAATTTTAGACATTTCTATGCCTTTATTTTTATATAAAGTATTTTTTTAATAAGAGTAATTTTTTATCAATATAAGAGGTATGATGTCATCCACATGGAGTATGACATCACCCATATAAAACACATGAGTGATGTCACACCACATGTAGATGACGTCATATTCCTTAGAATGACCAAAAATACCCATATTAAAAACAACTTCCATATACGAAACTAGGGTATATAAGTGTCCAAATTTGTGAATATAATGTTAAATTATTCCATAGTGTGAGCACACTAAATTAACCTTTTTAATAAATATCTAACTATATTTTTTGAAAATTTTTATTTTATCTTAAAAATACACCTAAAAACTTCCTAAATGGGTCAAAAAACCGAATTGCCTCCCCACCCAAACAAAGAACCACCAAAGGTGATGAATGACATTACTCGACGCATGGCACACCCCCCTCTGTCTATTTCTCTGTCTCTCTAATTGTGATGGCAACCTTTAAATCCCATGTTACCAGTCGTAGGATCATCAAGGCTAAAATATGTAGCATGAGCATGTGACATTTTTGGTGAACTTCTTGCCCCAAATATATTTTTTATGGAAATTTAGCAACATGTACTTGATGTATTAAATATTTAATATTGTAACTATTTTCAACTATTACAGGTCATGCTCACAAGCATTTTTGATGGAATTTAAAATACATTATTTTTAACGACTGAAAGTTGAAATCCTAATTTTTTTTTATAGCCATAATGGATAAGGACAAGATGATTGATTTAAAAAATTGCCGAATTTTTGGTGAGTTTTGAAGCAAAGCTCAAATTATTTTGATAGCCAAAATGTTTTCTTAAAAAGTGTTCAATTGTTGTCTTGTGGTAACTGTTCACAAAAAAAAAAGTCCCCTTTTTGCCTTGGTGCACCTATCTTATGGTCTATTTGGAGGATGAGAAAATAAATGTAGTCAAAAGACCTTGGAGGACGGAATTTATTAAGCATGCAAGTTGAGAACGAAAACAAGGAAAATAAATGGAATGAAAAAGGACAAGGGAATAAATGTGAGAGATGGGGTTGATGCAAAGCCGACTGGATCACATGTGCCCTATCATTAATAAATGAACCAATCTCATCATGCACAATCGGTTTGGTTACGGTTGCAACCTTAAATGACCACAATAAGGTGCACCTCCCAACTTTGTCATGAGATGTAATTTTGGTGTTAAATTTTTTTAGAAAAGTGCAAGAATTTATTTTTATCTCTAGTTCTAAAATTTTAAACTAAAAAAATAGTTCAAATAAAATAAAAATAGCTTTAATCAAGTAAATCTATAAATGTATGAAAATCCCCTTTCCCATCTCATGGAAAAGCCTTTTCACTCCGCTTAGCCCTATCCCCTTCTAGGGCTATTTGACTGATAGGTTCTATACGAACCAAACGATCTTTTTCAATCCTTAGAAGATTGATTACTTTTAGTTCATAGAATATACAATCACTACTAGTAGTCAAATGTCTCGTTGTATAATTTTTCCTAATAATACACATACTATATGTGCTTGAAAAATATAATGCCTTAGATTAAATCGGAATTATCTAACAAAGCCATATCTAAATGTTTGGAACTCAATTTTCTTTCTTTTCTTTTCCTTTTCTTTTTTCTTTCTTTTTCTTTTTTTTTTAAAGAATACTCATCTTGATTAGTCTAAAGTAGATATTATTTTTCTAGATTTCTTTATATATATATATATATATATTTAAAGAATGTTCATCTTGATTAGTCGAAAATAGATATTAATTTTCTAGATAAAAAGATTACTCTTATTTTACCCAGGAGCAAGCAATAGGGGCCATATGTCTCAATCCCATGGCCTGCAAACGAGAGGCCTAGTGATAGTCCTCTTAACCAAACCCCTATTACATGTCCAAATCTTTCCATTACTCCTTACTGTTTTTTTTAACTTTGGGAATGTGATTGATTTATTAGATGTGACTAGTTCGTTGTTAACCATGAAAATGAACTCACAAAAAATTTCCTAAACCTCCAAGTTTGGTATTAGTCATTATCTTTAGAAACTGAGTGAAACACAGTGTTTCCAAAAATCCCAATTCCTATTAGGAATCACAGAATCAGTCATTCTGGATTGAGAATTGGACGCTATTAAACCGGTTGTGGGAAAGGAAATAGAAACCACCAGGTCCCCACTAAAACACCTTTTTTTATTTTTTTTCAGCATTTCTAATGTTTTCATTTTTTTGTAAAGGAAAAAGTTCATATAACGGTGAAGCCCTAAAACAATCAAATTATGGTGCACCTTCAAAATTCACTAAAAGAGCTTGTTTCGATGCCCAAAAATGCTTGAATCGATCATCTCGACCTCCAGATATAGTACATCTTGTGATACATTTATGGACCGTCAATTTTCAAGATTATCAATTGTTCATAGACCTGCTCAATCTACACTATTTTTTAAGCTTTAAATTTTATAATTACATATGAAAATAAATTTTCAGGCAATCACAAAATTTTCCAATACTGAAATAATATCTTTCAAATACGATTTAAAAATGCACCTACTTTTGACGGAATAAGGCCTCACCCTTATACAAACCACACCTTTTTCTAAAATCTTACCCATAAACCCTCCTTTCAATTGTTCTATTTTTCTAGATATCCGACTTAGGCCAATCCAGACCCAAATGATCGGTGACCAAATGATCCAACCCAACAATCCGTTTTTTTAACCAGTGACATGAAGGAAATAACAACCCATGTAGAGCAGTTGCAAACATTTATAAACCGTTCAAAAAAAAACAAAGTGGCAAACATTTATAAAACATACAATAAAGAAGTGGTTATACATTTATTGCGTGAACTAAATCACTGAATGATTTCAATTCAAGTCAAATTAGGCTGGACATATGGTTCGTGCGAGACTACTAAAAGTATGTAGTCCAGCGCTACAATGCAGCTTCTGGTCATAATGGTTATGGGATCCAGATCTAGAATCCTCGTAACTATATGAGATATATGGTCACGAGGTGAACAATAGTTATGGTTGGACGGTAATGGCGAAAGTGTGGAACCCACTGGACATGATGGATCCATCATCATCCAATTTATTTCATGATGATGCACCTTATGGATATATGTGGACATTTAATGCTACTATGCTTGGAGGACCAATTGATCAACCACGGAACCCATAAAGGGGTATAAGGTAATTCTCATGATCATACGAATCCATGATCATGTGGGCAGAGATTGCAACCTCTCATTTAGAAATTACGTATTAGTTTTCAATAAGGTCATTTATCTTCAGCATAAGGTGATTTCAAAAACTATTGATTATTAGATTTGAAAGGATAAGTTTTCAATAAGGTCATTTATCTTTGGTATAAGGTGATTTCAAAAACTATTGATCATTAGATTTGAAATCACGTGGTTAGGGTGTCTTAGATCAAGCTCAAGTTTAAAAGAAATTCTCTCAAGCTTCAAGTCTAAAAGAAATTGTTTCCAACTTTGTGACACAATCCAAACTGTTGGATTTAACATCTGACGATTATGGATGATTTTGACTTCCATGTACCAAAGCTGAATGATCTTTATAGTATATTTTGCTATGGAAAATTGTTTCATGTGGCGGGGACCACATTTCTACATTTGCAGTCCCCAGGGTATAAAACATCCAATCTTAAAAGATGGATGCAAATAAGTGGTCAATCTAAAAACAATTGAACCTAGCGGTCCAAATGTTTTCCTAATAGAGTTATTATTTCTAGGATGCGGTTTTTATAAGCTTGCAACCTTAAATAATCCAATTGAAGTATACATCCAAATTTTATCATAACATATGATTTTGGTGACAAAAATTCTTAGGATTATCTCAAAATCTATTTTCATATCTAATTATAAAATTTTAAACTTCAAAAACGGTCAAAATCAAGTAGATCTAAAAATATGAAAATCTTTAAAATGGACGGTCTAGATATTATGTCACAAGATGTACTACTTCTGGGACTCAAAATCTTCTTTTTTTTCATATTCATACATCTCGATGTTGAGATGATCAATAAGAGGATTTTTCAAAATTAAAATAACGTTCTCCGATAGATTTTTGAATTGCATATAAAATTGCTACATTTTCAAGTTGCAACCTTATATAAACTTTTTCATTATTTTTAATTCTCAAATTTTATTTATTTTTTTATATTCATTATCTCCATGTTGGAGATTACATGTCCTTAATTATTAAGTCCAAAAATCCATCTCAGAAATAGATTTTAAGAGGTGACTCATTTCTACATTGACTCATAGAAACCTTTTTTTTTTGTTATTGCGATGGTTTCTACACTAACAACTATTAATTATTTAAGATAAGAATAAAAATCTTTTTTTCTTGTCAAAACATAAATATCTTTTTTAAAACTCTAACACCAATTTTCGAGTAAAGTTTTTCCAAATTTGAAGTTAAGATCTAAACCTTTTGAACATGAAATGAGAGTCCTACTCTTCTGTATTTTACTTTTCCCTGTTGTAGTTGTGGGATGCTAGGAAACGGACTTGCGTCAAGACAGTAGAGGCTAAGTTTTCATAACCGAACGTCTTAACCTTGTCGAAGAAATTTGGAGTTAGAGATAAATGTGCTTAAAAATAGATAGTAAGTATCAAACCACAGGAGAAGATATGGAAGCATTCTAAATTAATTATTTCCCTTAGAAAAAGATTCCAATAGGGAGGACTTCATATATCACTCTTATCGAGCTCTTGCAATACAAATATGTAAACCATGATCAAATGAACACCAGACAGAAAGACCACAATGCATGTGAAGGCTTTGTATAAAATTCAATATTTGATCTCCACCGTCCATCAACCTCAATGAAGCTTCCACTTGAACCAGCCTAGCCCCAATCTCAGTCAAGCTACAAACAGCGCTGATGGATGGTTGAGATGGCACTTCACGTACAAATTGTATGCAAAGCATTCACATATAACATTCCTTTTTTTCACTAAGCTAAATATGAGAAAATTGCTAGATGAGCTCATACAATTAACAGTTTCATCCAGATAACAGTAAAGTAAAAAGCATTTTGAAGTTTTTCTTTGTTGCTTTATCCCATAAGCACAAGTAATGAAATCAGTCTCTAGCTCAACATGAACCTTCTTCTCTTTTCTTTCGTTCATTTTGCTGGTATTCAAGGGCATTTTGGTAAAAAAAGCCATGCCCCAACACCACCCAGGGGTTTTATGCAAGAAATATAATGTGAGAAGAAACAGCTTGACCCATCACCCACTACATTTCATGTTCATAAAGCAAACAATGAATTATATTAGAGCAGAAAGTCTTTTAAAAATATATGATCCCTTCACATCAAATTTGCGAGGTACCCCAATTCAGGCAGAAGCTGGAGGCTGTGTTGATTCAGCAGATTCTTGCTCAACAGTTTCGGTGGACTGCATTTCTCCTTCTGTGGACCCCACTCCGCCTTCCTCAACTGCCCCTTCCACAATGGGTTTACGCTTCGGTTGCAAAGCTTGCCACTTTTGTCGAGCCTCTCTTCTTGCCTCTCTCTTTGCGATCTTAAGATTTTTGAAGCCTTCCTCCAATTTGGCCTCCTCTTCAGGAGGAAAGAAACCAACTTCCATCATACCTAATTCTTCATACATTTTCTCAATTCGAGCTTTCCAAAAGAGACCTATCTCATTGTCGAGCTTATTATAGGGGGTGTTGAGGAGGTACTCATCGACTCCACCTGCTTTGTCAATGCACCGCAGTGCATGTGTGGTAACCTTTATGCGGATGTGGCGATCGAGTATGTAGCTGAAGAGACGCTTCTCTTGAACGTTGGGTTTCCATTTCCTCCTTGTCCTAATGAAAGAGGTTTTTGATTAGCACATGAATGGAAAGTAAAATGAGAGAAAAATTGTGTTGTGAAAGTAAATGGACAGACAACTTGAGTGTGCTCCTTGATAGTGCAGAGCATGAAATGAATCTCTCTCTCTCTCTCTCTCTCTCTCATGCACACACACAAAGCACACACACACACACACATGCGCGCAAGGCATCTAAAGTGCCACCTCAAATACAGATCCAGGATTCAAGTTACCATGAGTACTAGAAATGTGATTTGTTGCTCCTGAATAAAATAACCAAATTTTCTACCATTATACCACATGGTGAACACGTTCTCAAAGTCCTCCATTTTGGATAAAATAGCCTTTCCAAGCCCCAAGAGAACTTCAAACCCTTCACCTACCATCCCAGACATTTCTCCAATTTATATATTTCCCTAAGATGACACTATTCCACATGACCCTTCTTCCCATTAGCTAGCCACCAAATACCCACTTCCACTGTCATCTGCACGTGCACTAAGACACATAGTGGAAACAATATGATCATGGGACTTTTACCATCCCATCAATAGGTTGGACCTTTACAGTGAGAGAATGCTCTCTCTCTCTCTCTCTCTCTCTATATATATATATATATATATATATAGGGAAAGGCTGACGTTAGCCCACGGGCTGACTACAGTGCTAGCCAACAGCCCAGATTGAATCTGAGTCAATCTGAAGGTCATGACCTCATTTCGTATTTGAATTTTCTTTTTACTGATCCAAATCATTTGAAATTTTAGGCGTTCACTCTTCTCATCAAGGCACACCTAATAAAAAATTTAAAAAATAATTCGTAAAATATAACTTGACCAAAATACCCCGAAAAAGTTTTGAGAGTATTTTGGTCAAATTATTTTTTATATTTTTATTAGATTCTCCTATTTTTAAAGAATAGGCGCTCAAATTTTCAAATGATTTGGATTAGTAGAAAAAAATAAAAATTCAAATACGAAATATAATCGTAACCATTGGATCGGCCCCCGATTCAAACTAGGCCGTTGGCTACCACTGTAGCTGTTAACTAGTGGGCTAATGCCA